CAGGGAGCCCATTTGCTAGGAGAGTCTGGTTTTCTGGGTCTCCCTTGCCAGGCAAATACTTTTACTTCCTGAGTCAGCAAGCTGGTGCCTTTCTGCATCTTTGCTTCTTTTCTGAGTCCACAGAAACATCCTTCTTGAGTTTGAGGCTACTTTCCATCTTTTGTGCTTTATCTCATATCACCATATGTTTAGAACAGAAGTGATGCATCTGAAGAGGAAGTTTACTTGTGCTATCTTGACAGAAAACATTACTTCTAAAAGTATATAAAAAGTGATAATAATGATGTTAAACAAATTAAATGAGCTTTCCTTTGTTGCATGATCTTTGCTCCCAGTTTTGCTTTGTCATGTAATCTGATAAAGGAGTGTGGGTTCATGTGCTGTAAGTGTTCACATGTTTGTAGGCCTTAATGTCTTAGTAGGTGGATGTTAAGGAATTGTATGGTGAGATACCCAGGAAACGAATTTTCATGCTCTTCACTTCTTTTCTGGAGATAATGGGTTCTTCTGAATTAGGGACTTTGAAAAATGGCAGGAATTTCCATCATTCTGGCCTGTGGTGAAGGCAGATTCCCTCTAGTCCATCTCATGACATGAAAAGTGGAGTTTCTGAATTCCAAGTCTGATGGTGCCACTCCCTGCTGAGAATCCTCCTGGGGAGCCTACTGATTACAGAGCAAAGTAGAAACTTCATAGCTGGACCCACAAGGCTGTCAGTGAGCATCTTCTTGTTTCCTTCCCTATCCTTGCCTCCTGCTTCCGTCCCCGCTCCACTTATAAGCTCCAGCTACTCATAGCACTTTGGACATGTCCTGGCCATTTCTACCTAATCATTTCCCTCTTCCTGAAATCCCCCATTCGCTAGCTCAGATAACTGATAACTCTGATAACTCAATCATGCCTCCTTACCCATTCGGTACTGACAGAGTTCTTCCTCTAAGAAGGTTTTCTTGGTCAACTCCTCTCTCTCCATCTTGCCATCTTCCAGGTCATGCATTGAAGCATCCTGCAGTTTTCTCTCTCCTATCATAGATAATCAAGATGATTCACTTTTTCTCTTTTGGTTCTGAAGACCACCCCCTTGGGGGTGGGCTGGAAAATACTGTGAAATTTACAAAAGTACCAATTCTTGGTGAGGCTCATCTAATATTTTAAATTCTTTTTATTATATATTTTTGATAGGGGATGTGGAAAAGTACTTGATAGGAAGGGATCCAGAAACAATGACTCAAAAGACACCCATAAAGCTATCTGATCCTGGAAGGCAAAGAGAAGAGGTGCAGCCTGAGGCTCCCTCCTGTCTCGGCCTCTGAAGCGGGTAGGCTCTTGAAAAAACTTCCTTCATTTTGATGGAAACTTCTTTTAATGGTTTTAGCACCCTGAGCAATTACCCTTAATATGCAGGCGAACATTTCCAATCTTTTATGTGCTTTTGTAGCATGCTTGAGTTTATATTGGGTATATTGTGTATTTTAATGTTTTTCACTTAACATTATATCACAAGCATTTCCTCAAATTATTACAAATTCTTTGTAATACCGTTTTCTTGCTGTAGAATATTTAATTGGAAGTCTGCATCATAATTCTCTTAACATTCCCCTAACGATGCAAATTTAGTAGTATTTTATCTATGGCAAATAGAGCTATTATAAGCCTTTTTCAAACGGAAATTTTGGCCTATATTTCAGGATAGACTTTTAGAGGTAGAAGTTCTGGATCAAAGAATATGAACATTTATAAGATTCTTGGCACACTGCCAAGTGTACTGTCAGAGAAGTCATGCCCATGTTTATGTTCACCAGCCAGTGTGAGCCTAGTGACCTTGGGTAAGATTCTTTTAAATGATCTGTGCCCTAATTAATATGTTAAAATGCAATACACACATGTACACCCATATTTACTACACATATGTATGCACATACATGCATATATATGAACATATACATAAGCATATACCTATCTATATCTAAATCAAATCTATCTGTGTCTCTAACTGTAAAGTTGGCCCTTGAACAATGTGAGGGTTAGGAGTACCACCCCCATCCCCACACAGTCAGAAATACATAAGTCTTTTGACTTCCCCAAAACTTAACTACTAATAGACTACTGTTGAGTGGAAGCCTTACCTATAACCTTAATCAATTGTTATATGTATTATATAGTGTGTTCTCGTAATAAAGTAAGTGACAGAAAAGAAAACATTCCTAAGAAAATCATAAGAACTGCGTGAGGTGACCTGGGCTTGTAATCCTAGCTACTTGGGAGGCTGAGGTAGGAGGGTGCTTGCGCCCAGCGGTCCAAAGCTGCAGTGAGCTATGATTTTAATACTGCCCTCCAGCCTGGGCAACAGAAAGAGACTGTGGCTTAAAAACATTATGAAGAGAAAAAGAAAATCATAAGGAAGAGAAAATATATTCGATACATTTATTATTCATCAAGTGGAAGTGGATCATCGAAAGATCTTCACCTTCATGTTGAGCAGGCTGAGGAGAAGGGGTTGGTCTTGCTGTCTTGGGGGTAGCAGAGGTGGAAGAAAATCTACACGTGAGTGAACCCTGTGCTGTTCACGGATCAGCGGTGTGCTATGTATACATATCTATATTTTTATCTTTTGATTAGTGATGCAGCTGCACATTTTTTTCCTGCTGGAATCATTTTTCAATGGCAGGTGATTAATAGTGGGTGGAATAAACAACTTGCAGAACTTCCTTCTACGTCCCTGGGGGCAGCTGCAGTTAGCTGCCAAGAATTCCAATTTAGCTCAGCTGTTTAAAATCTCCAGCCTTGGTTTAAAAATCAACATGTCTATGAGGGGAAAATCTCTCTCCACATAAACAAACAAAAAAATATCATTCTTACAGTATATTTCAACAGGGTATTGATAAAAATGAAAAATACTCATGGTAAAGAGCTTTCTTTACTTTTAGGCACCTTTGCATCTCACTGCCTTGGCCAATTCTAAGTTTAATGAAGAAGACGGGAGCAAGGTTTTTTTTTTTTTTTTTTTGAGACGGAGTTTCGCTCTTGTTACCCAGGCTGGAGTGCAATGGCGCAATCTCGGCTCACCGCAACCTCCGCCCCCTGGGTTCAGGCAATTCTCCTGCCTCAGCCTCCTGGGATTACCCCCCCTTTTTCTTTTTGAGACAGAGTCTTGCTATGTCATCCAGGCTGGAGTGCAGTGGCTCAATCTCAGCTCACTGCAACCTTTACCTCCCTAGTTCAAGAAATTCTTTTGCCTCAGCCTCCCGAGTAGCTGGGATTACAGGAACGTGCCATCACACCCCGCAAATCTTTGTATTTTTAGTAGAGATGGAGTTTTGCTATGTTGGTCAGGCTAGCCTCCAACTCTTGACCTCAAGTGATCTGCCTGCCTCGGCCTCCCAAAGTGCTGGGATTACAGGTGTGAGCCACCATGCCCAGCCTATCATCCATTTTTTACTAATGAGGAAAAAAGCTCCAAGAGGAGAGCCACCTGACTCTGCTCCATGTCCTCTCCCAGGATCCTCCTTGTCTTATTCACCTAGTGAATATCAACTGTAAGACACCAACAGATTCAATCGTCACGTCCACCTGTGGGGGTCCAGTCATTGCACAGTACCGTGTTGAATGGATGCCTAGTATTCCTCAAGTTTCAAGTACTGCACAAATATCCAGTATTTCACAGGTGCCAGTATTGATCAGATGCTAGTGTTGCACAACCATACCCAGTATTACACAGGTACTTATTGCCCAGGTGCAAATGTTGTTTGATACTAATGTTGTACAGGTGTCCAGTATTGCATGGGTGCCCATAGTATTGCTCAGGTGCCCAGTGTTACACAGATGCCTAGTATTGCATAGGTGCTCAGTATTGCATAGGGGCCAGTATTGCACAGATATTCTGTATGGCACAGGTGTTGATATTGCTCAGATGCTAGTGGTACACAGCTGTTCAGTACTGCTTAGATGCTAGCACTGTACCAGCACCAGTAATGCCCAGGTGGCTAGTATTCCATAGTTAGCCAGCATTGCACAGGTGCCCAGTACAGAACAGATGCCAGCATTGCACAGGTATCCAGTACTTACAACATATGTGGAGCCTCTGGCATCTCCATGACCTCATGTTTTAAGAAAGTGAGAAAGTGGGAGACAGGTCCCATACTGGATTTTGTAACCTTGTCTGAAACACTTCCGGGTATTTTGCTTCACTTCGAGCACAGCCCTTTTTTCTGTCTCATGTTCTCACATGGGCGCAGGATGGCATTCTGACCTGAGAAGGGTGTCAGAGCTGAGCCTGGGAAAATGGTCATCTATGTTTTCTTCCCTTCTGTGTCCATCCCACCATACACTGCACACACATGCCTCGGCACCTTTTCTGCTCTCTCATCTCCAGATGAAGAGGGAAGGTGGTGGGCCTTCTCACTATTCTCCCTGCATCCTCCCTGCCTGGAGGGACATACCTGGCAGAGAGCTTTCTAATACTCTGCCAAAGAAGAAAACTTGAAGGGTAGCATTTCTTTGTGTGTGTGTGTGTGTGTGATTCCTCTAAATTTTATTTTATTTTATTTTAATTTATTTATTTTGCTTTAGGTGCATAGTACATCTGGCATTTCTCCCCATGTTATCCCTCCCCACCCTCCCCTCCCTCCCCACCCCCTGCTGAAAATAGCATTTCTGACTCACTTGGGGTCAAAAGCTTGGCCTTCCCCTGGCCTCCCAGACGCATAGAGGGCAGGTCTCATGAGGTATCCTGTGTGAATCCTTTGCTTTCATTTTCTCTCTGGGATCCTAGTTAGGTATCTTTTGTTGCAGAGGAGCTGCAGATGTGTCTATGTGATACTTAAAAACTTGGTTTCTTCCACAGAGATTTTAGTTACAAAGGCAGATGAATGGTCTTCATCCACAAACTAAACAGGTCTAGTTTGATGTTTTGCTCCAGGGGCTGTGTGTTCTGTACATGTGGTGCTTCATAACCAGTTCAGGGTCATATTGATTCACAACTGTGTTAAAAGAAGATTTTGGTGTTCACTTCGGCAGCACATATACTAAAACTGCAATGATACAGAGATTAGCATGGCCCCTGTGCACAGATGACATGCACATGCACATTCATAAAGCATTCCATATTTTTATTTTAAAAAAAGAGGATTTTGCCTCCATGCTGAGTCATCTCTCATAAGGTGCTTTTCCCTCTTCAGGTCTCATTAATTTCTAGGCTGTCTTCCGCCCCACAGTTTGGATGCAACGTGATTTGCGAATCCGACCATATCTACACCCACTTTCCTCCTGTAAAGGGCTCACCTTCAAAGCAACATCAGTGCCCCACAGCCTAGTGGTCAGCCCCCTCATTACCTGGTTCTTTGCAGTCTCTGCATCTGGAGTCATCCTCGATTACTTCCATCCATTCCTCAAGCTCAGGAAGAACTGCACACTTGCAGGTTCCAATATCACCTCAATTTCTCTACATTTGTCATCCCCGTACCTAGAGAGCTCCTTAAAAACCCACCTCAGAATTCTCCCTCCAACAGTCCTTCCCTGACCTCCCCTCAGGCCAATTGGTCCTCCATGATGGACTCTTTGCACCTTGAGCTATTTTAACACATCTCTTATTGAAGCCAGTGTCCTCCAGGGCACCAGCAAGGCCTTGTTCAGCTCCAAGTCTCTGACATTGCACCTCCTGTGGTGTAAATGCAGAGAACATTTGCATCCTGAATGAAGGAACTAATGGTGTTATCTCTGCCTGGGAACTGAGGTCTGGATGCCTACCATCCTTTTACCCTAACACCTCCATTTGTCACCTTAGGAAGACAATGCCCATGCACTGCAGCTATGAGCAAAGCGGTCCTTCCTGGGCCAGGCATGGTGGCTCACGCCTGTAATCTTAGCACTTTGGGAGGCCAAGGCAGTGGATCACCTGAGGTCAGGAGTTCAAGACCAGCCTGGCCAACATGGTGAAACCGCATCTCTACTAAAAATACAAAAAATTAGCTGGGTGTGGTGGCGGGCAGCTATAATCCCAGCTACTTGGGAGGCTGAGGCAGGAGAATTGCTTGAACTTGGGAGGCAGAGGTTGCAGTGAGCTGAGATCATGCCATTGCACTCCAGCCTGGGCAACAGAATGAGACTCCATCTCACTAAAAAAAAAAAAAAAAAAAAAAAAGGAAACCACAATGGCATGTGTATACCTATGTAATAAATCTGTATGTTCTGCACATGTACCCCATATCTTAAAGTATAATAATAAAAAAGAAAAAAAAATGATCCTTCCCTGGAGAAAGGAGTGGCCTGACCCTGGGTATCTCAGTAAGCCCAGAGATGCTTTATCTTGAGAGAGCGAATATAGAACTTGGTCCTAAGTACTTTTTGAAAGAGAAAAATGATAATAATTTCAGCTACTTGAAAAACAAAAGGTGGCTAATGTATTTGGTTCTAAAAAGACTAGGAGATCTGCATATCTTAAGCATCAGCTTTGGAGCTCTATAATGTTGGCAAGAGACCTCTTGATCACAGGATGATCTTAGAATAGAGGCTGGTGAACTCCACCCAACCTCATTGCCAGGCCTCTGGATTTATGGATCCACCCAAGAACCAAGACATTCTCACAGCTGTATGCCTCTATGTGTTCCTGTCATAGCAAACCAATGAAAATGACCAAGCCTGCATCGAGGTCTTTCATACACTGGCCAGAGGATGGAGAAAAGTTTTCTTCTTTCAACTCTTGCATGTGGTTTAAGAAACAGAAGATGTTTTTGATTTTCTGAAGAGAAAGCTGGGATACTTTAAAGACCGACGGGTTCTGTTATTTAGTTCATTGCATTGTTCATTCAGCAACTATCTATTGAGTACTCATGGGTACCAGGCATGATGTTAGACAGTGCTTCCTCATTGGGAGACAGTTCCCCATGGGTCTCTCGCATTTTTCACATCTGTTGAGTGAGGCAGGAACTGCACTGTGTTCTTGACTATCTTTTCCAAGATGTTAGTGTATTAAACAGTCTTGGAAGACCAAGTAGTAGCTCCCTCTAGAGCAAAAGGCAGGCATTTTACTGCCCATTATGGATTCTGATTTTCTTGGTTCAAGATTTCTCTTCTGGAACTCAACCCACCATATGGATAAACATCCTCTGAGATCACCCACATCACCCATGTGGAACTTGGTGATGAGGAGATCTCATTCAACTACACTGATGTCATGCTGCTTGCTGGGCTGTAAGTAATAAAACCTTTGTCTCTGACCCAGGAATCTCATGTCTTCTGTCCGCATCTGTGAAACTGGTATAGTCTGAGTTGCTCACTTAAAAGCAGGGCAAAGCCTCAGACCTTTCACAATTCTTGGCAAGCTATGTCCTCATTTAAATTACTACTCAAAACACTAAAATGCAAATATTTTGGTCATCATAATACTGATAAGAACCCTGGAGCCCGAGAAGTTAAGTAACTCTTCCCAGTCCAGAGCGAGTTAGTGCCTGAGGTGAGATTTTTGTCCAAGTCTGTCCAATTCCAGAGCCAATTCTCTTTTCCTAACATCATGCTGACATGCTAAATTGCAAGCATTAAAATGCCTGTAGCTCTACTTGTGGCACTGGGCCAGTTAAAATCCTGTTGGCCCCTAAATCGTTCCCGTTGCTATGATGATAAAAATATTTAGGTAAGGAATGAAAAACAATTGGGCAGCCTCTCTGCTGGGAGGATAAAAAGATAAAATCACAAAGGGGAGTTCCTTCCATTAAAAAAAGAAGGGAAAATTCTCTCTAATATTTACATAACAGTTGGCTCAAAGCCTTGACCTCCTGCTGCTGCTTCTGGTGAATGGATGAGATCCATCTCTCTCCAGGCAGGATGGGCCGAGTCATGTGAAATTCAGACTAAACAATGGGGCAGCTGGAGGAGCAGGCGAGCCCCAGGTTGGGGAGGCCTCCAGCTCCATGGCCTGGGTCTGAGCCTTGCTAGGCCTTTTGAAGCCCTTTTGTGAATTTCCATGTTGCATTTTCAGCTTTTGTCTTGTTTAATTTGATCACTGTCTTATCCATATGATAGAGACTGACCTGTTCCTTCAGGAGCTCTTGATTACCTATGCACCAAAGTCCAAATTTCTTAGCTTGGAATAGAAGCCACTCTGTGGTGAAGCCCTTAGAAACTGTGCAGCTGACCCAAGCCTCCCTTCCTCTCTAAAGCCTTTCCTAAGTCCATCTCACTCCCGAGATAGAACCGATCCTGCTCTCCTTAGTGTTTTAAATTGATTTGTGTCACCTCTCTCTCAGCATCCATATACTTTAGGCCTGGACCTATACAGCATCCATATACTAAGCCATGGACCCCTGAAGGCAGAGGCTGCTTTATTTAGCTATGTAATTCTAACACTTACATGGTACCTAATAAATGTTTGTGGATTACAGCTATATATTCAGACACACACACACACACACACACACACACACACACACACATATATTATCAATCTGTCTCTGGATCTGAAATTTAATCACTAAATACTCTTAGTTTGGGAATGAGCACTTTTAAGAAGCACAAATCATCTAAGAAGGGTTGGTAGGGATGCTTTGGCATGATGTAATCTAGATGATTGCTTTCCTTTTCATAAGAGTGGCCTGGGTGCAAGTGTCCTGGCTGCTGGAAGTGTGGACCAGGTGTGCCGGGCTGGCAGTACTTGCTATCTCTACAAGCTAATCATCCCACCAAGGGCAGGTAGGCTCCACTGCATCATCTCTTCCCACCAGGAAGAGCGACCTCTCATCCCAGGGCAGCTCTGATTGGGATTGGGGATGCTGGTAGAGGTGCCTGGGCCATCATTGTCCAGGACCACTGGGTGGCAGAGACCTGGCTTGGGATTCTTTGATCCCAGCACTGATGAATCATGCCAATATCCATGAGTCTTGATGTTACCTGCTCTGCTCCCTGTGGGGCTCCTGCTGACTCATCTTCACCTGCTGACGGGAGGCCAGAAGGGCCTGAGTTAAATGGTTCCTCTGCCATTAGAAGCCATGAGACCTCCAGCAAAGCTCATTGACCTTTCTGAGCCTTAATTTCTATAGCTCTAAAGGGAGAATAAGGATATCCACTTGCCAGGATTATTTTGAGGATTAAAGGAGGCTTATGTGCAAAGAAGCTGGGATTTTCTACAGAGCTCTGTCCCTTTCCTTCTTCTTCCAGCCCTTCTCTGGCCCATCCCTTCTCTTCCTTTCCTCTCCTTATTCTTCCTTCTTAACAGTTTTTTGACTCTGGTATGTGCAAATGTGTGCATTATTTACCCCAACTAACAATGGTTGCAGGCATGCTGCGGAATGACGTAGAGCATTGCTGGAGAAAGGGTCAAAGATTTAAAAACCTGGTCCCTAATCTAAGAGAGCATTATTAAGTGCTTGCCAGTGTGTACTCTCCCTGTGTGTCTGTGTGTGTGTGTGTGTGCGCGCGCGCGCAAGTGCATGTGCACCAGGGCATCATCTCTAAGTTGCCCTGCTCTCTGATGTGGCTTTCTGGCCTCTGCAGTTAGCCTGTGACAGCTCCCTTCTTGTGGCACCTGAGCTAGGCCACCTGGGACAACCCTGCTCTGCAGCTTCCATGTCATCACCACTGCTGCTGAGCCTGATTCTGGCTGGTTCTGGGGACCCAGTGGGCTGGGAGCAAACTGTGTTTCAATAGTTTTCCAGGACATTGGGCAGGCAGCAGGGTGAGGATGAATGGAGGTGAGGAAGGGGAGGTGAGAGGCCAGGGAGCCAGGCTTAGTATAGACAGCTCCTGGGCCCAATGAGGGAGAAAGGGGTGAGTTACCATCATCCTTCCTCCACACAGGCACCCGCACTCTAGGGGCTCTGGAGAGCTCTGGGCTTATCATCTATCTCGAGCCTTTTCAACCCAATGCATGTCTACGTGTGGGTTCTGGTGCCTCCTCTGTGCCTAGTGGACAGTGATCTGTGCTTCTAAACCTGGAAGATATGGTGCTCAAAAACCTGAAATGGCATTGCCACAGGAAGGGCTATTAGAAGCCATTTAGCCAAGTGTTTTCAAAATGTGCTCCAAGGACCACTTGGTCCACGAGTTCTTAGCAGGTATCCTGTGAGCAAATGGGGCCTCTGGCTCAACACACTTGGAAAAGGCTGTGTGCACTGTTCCCCTCCCACCAGCGTCAGCGTCCACACTGGGCCAGTGAAGATGCTGAGGAGTCTGCACGGTTTTCACTTTGCATGATACATCATTTTCTAAACTGCCTTGTACATATTTATAGATGAAGGCCTGAAAGCTTGGGTCACCAGGGAAAGGTCTCGCTTTTGGACCAGGCTTCTTCCATCACTGCTTCTGTGAGCTCCCGACTCATCCTCTCCACCATGGCTCCAGGACTGTCAGCTCTTCTGGCTGCTGGACATCCCACTGAGCTTGCATGCCCATAATCCTCCCAGGGAGATCTATGGGACTTTCTGCCAACTCCCAGGTGGAGATGGTGCAGCCTTGAGAAGCCTGGGCCCCAGGAAGTACCTAGGTGATCCCAGCACCTGGTGTGCAGTCTTTAATCTCACAGCTGCTGGTCCCTGAAGTGACAGCTAAGCTGTTGGGAATCTTGGAATAAATCACCTGGAAAGTGATGGTTAACCAGTTCATCTTCTCTTACTGCACCACACAGTTGATGACACTGGAAGATAGGGAGCTCTGAGCACTTGATCCTCAACGCTGGCAGTCAGTGTTGAGGAAATCAGCATCATTTCCATGTGAGGGAGAACACCAAAGCCAGAAGGGTCAAAAGAGTTGTTCAAGGTTCTGGGAGCTGGAAAGGGGAGCTGGGATCCAAAATCAGGCAGTGGAGCTCTGCAGTCTCTGCTCCCAGCACTGGTTGCCATGGTCACTGTTATCGGAAGGATGGGTGGGATTCACTCACAGTTTTGGATCAGGTCCATTTGTTCTAACACTGCACCTTGGAAAATCAGTGCTTCAGCCAGTGCCCTGGCCACTGGGACAGGCTATTTCTAGAGGGACATATCACCCTTCGTTTTGTTTCATACAGCTGGTGCCTCTGCAGGAAAAGGAAAGCTGATCACTCATCCTTCCTCCCTTGGCAGGCTTGGGAGCTGCCTGTACTGGTTGTGCTCTCTGAGAACTGGCCCTTGCAGGAGCCAGAAATGACTGCCCTGGCCCCGTCAGAGAACATAATATCGGACAGGTGAAAAGCAAGCCCTGGGTGGCGTTTATCTTTCCCCAGACAACTATAGTAATACTGTTGGACTCTGAATGCTCGGTTACGTTTCAAATTTATTTCCAATTGTTCTGAGCTGGATCAATGGGAGACAAAGGTACCTTTTAGCTCTGGCATCTGCTGTTCCCCGCAAATGTCAAGGGCTGACATTTGATGCCATTATCCCCAGTCAGCATACAGATGACTTATTTCCTTGCTTCCCCAGCCCCTGGGTACCCAGCACCCCTTCATCCTCAACAAGGACTTTCCTGCTAGTGACATGATGTTGTCCTGCACTGCCCAGGGGCCCTGTGTGCCCAGACTTTCTCCCACCTCGGTGGAGCAAAGGGTGGCCTCTGAGGTGGCCACTGCCTCCATGGGTCCCTGGGCGAGGCCTGATGAAGCTTGAGTCCTCCTCCATTCCTTCCTGGGCAGGCACCTAGTGTTCCCAGGTGCGAATCTTGGGAAGGAGCAAATGCTCTCTCCGGCTGCCTGGTGGTATCAGTAGGGGTGCTGGACAGTGGGGTACATTTTTCCTGATGGAGCTGAAGGCATTTGGGGAAGTAAAGTTTGTTGCCCCTCAAATAAAGTACTCCTTTCTGCTGCTGTCACCAGCATCCTGGAGGGCAGGGTCTCCCTGCAGTGCTGCGTCCGCACTCTCAGCAAACTCTGTGCCCTTGGCCTCATTGGTGTGGTACGTGCCCTTGTGCCGGCACATGTAGTGCAGCATGACGATGAGGAGGCAGACTAGGACGATGGCCACAGCGGCAATCACACCTGCAGGTGGGAAGATGTGCAAAAGTCAGCCTGAGCAGGGGCCCTGGGACCCTGGGTCCTGATGGGGGTCAGGACCCACAGGGGTTGTGTGAGGACAGATACGCTGCCACAAGCAAAACACATGCTCCTTGATTTATGATGGGAACCAGTTCCTGTAAACCCATAATAAGTCAAAATTATTGTAAGTGAAAAATGCGATTAGTACACCAAACCTACTGAGCGGCAAAACTTGGCCTGGCTTAGAGTAGCTTAAGCAGCCTCAGAACACTTACATTAACCTGAAGTTGTGCAAAATCATCTGGCCCAGAGACTATTTTATAATAAAGTGTATCACACTATGTATTGCCAGCCTGGGAAAGGATCAAAACTCAAAATTCAAAGTACGGTTCCTACTGAATATGTTTGAACCACTGTACGTCGGAGACATCCGTACCAACCCCAGACAGGCCACTTCATTCCTTTCACGTGCGTCATCAGCCTGTTGTGCGCTTGCCCTGGATCTCCGCCTTGCTAAAATGATCCTCCTCTCTCCTTCTCTCCTCTCCCTCCTTCTCTCCCTTCTCTTTTTCTTCCCCACAGTTGTGCTACTAAGCACTCTGCAGAGAGCCTAGGATCCTATCCCAGGACTGAAACTCTTTTGGAGGTTTTCCATTGTAAAACCAGGAAAGTCCCAGAAAACAGTGCAGCGCTTGTTGCTCTACATACAGTATATGGTGGGTGGGGGGATTAGGCTATTCACTGTGCTTGGGGCAGGTTGTACAGCTTGTGTTTTCCAAAGGCCTGATGGCCCCTCCTCACCACCCTGCTCCCATTCCTTCCTGGGGAGTGAGGACTGTGGTGAATCTGCAGGAGGATCAGGACTTGGCCACAGAAAGGACCAAAGTAGGAGAGGGTCATGAGAGGGTGCCAAGCTGGTATGTATTGGGGGTGGTTACCCTTCACTTCTGCTGGGACTCCAGAGTGGTGGGGAAGGACAGTGTGAGGCTGCCCAGGAGGGATCAGATCATTCAGGGCCTGGAGAATGAGGGGGCAGCAGTCTCATGGGGTGGGGTGTTTGAATTTGGGCATTTACTCTGAAGCTGCAGAACAAGCCTCTGTCTTTTCTTAGAATGAGGGTTTATCTGGAGGCCTTGGGGAGGGACTGCTGGAGAATATGGAAAGTCTAAAACTGCTCCCAAGTGCCATCATTACGGAACAATTTCCTAAACTTCCTATTGCCTTCAGGGGAACAATTGTGTCTGCATAATGTTAATAATACCATCTAAGAAGAAAAAGAGCTCAGCGGCGCAATGAGTTGGAAACGCCAGGTTACACAGAGTCCAACAGGTGTCTTTGATTGCTTGCTGCTGCTGCTTTCTCTTTCTTTTTAAATTGTAGATGTTTCCTGAGTTATTAATAAGCTGCTGAGAAGTATGGACCTCAAAGAAGGACACAGGACACACAGCACCTCCAAAACTTGGTTGTTCCTGAAACACAGTTCGCAGTCACAGCCATGACCCATGGGGAGCCACGTGCCCAGGGTTCAAAGCAAGGTAAAAGTAGGCTCACATTTCCTTGAGGAGAGAAGGTTTGGGGCACATGGACCCAGGGCAGAAAATAATGTGAGATGAGGGAGATGGCAGAGAAGTCCAAGAAGCCTGGTCTGTCTACCTTCATCCCACCTCCACCCTTAACCTCCCTCACCAAAGCTGCTGTCTCTCTAGCCCCTGAATTCCTATGAGGGGCCAATAAATATATGTACATATGTACATACATGCATATTCACCCAGGGCTAGACTTCTCCATTCCACATTCAAAACCACCACTGAAGGACAGAAAAAAATGGCCATAGCCACCCCTACCCAAGTCCTTAGGTCAGTTCTCTCTGGATGTTTTCATCAAGGCCCCTCACCCTGGCTGCTTGAAGGGCTCTGCAGTGACAGCTCACCTGCAATGATGGCAATGTCTGTTGCAGTGGAGGTAGAGGCCATCCCTGGATCAGGCTCTGTGAACAGAGGACAAAAGTCTGAGGTCAGAAAGACTCTCCATGCCTAGAAGTACTGTGGCCCAAGCTGGATCCTTTGCTCAGGTGTGAGCAACTCTGTGAATGAGCCCTGGTGGACAGGGGCAGTGTGGTGCAGCCACTGACTCCTGGCAGGGGTGCACAAACCAGGAACCAGGTTCTGCTTGGTCAATGATGGATTGGAGGGAACTGTATGAACCTGAACCAACAGGTCACTCCAGGCCCATTTGAGTTCTCTGCTGTATGCCTGCACTGAGGGTGGTGCCTGCACCTGGTAGATGCCCAACAGATATCCGTGGTGTGTATGAAGGCAGGGACTCTTGTTGTGTTTAAGACAGACCATTTGTGGAGTACCTGATGCTCACACCAGGTGTCTCAGTCCATTTTGTATTGCTATAACAGAATACTTGGGTCATTTATAAAGAAGAGAGGTTTATTTGGCTCTCAGTTCTAGTGGCTGGGAAGTCCAAATTGGGCAGCTGCATCTGGTGAGGGCCTCATACTGCTCCCACTCACAGCAAAAATCAGAAGGGGAGGAGACATTTGCAAAGAGACCACAGGTGATAGAGAAAGCAAGAGAGTTTAGAAAGCTGAGCGTGCTTTCATAACACACTGCTCTCCAGTAACTAATTCAGTCCCATGAGAAAGAACTCCCTCCCTCCCTCAAGGGGGTATTAATCTATGCATGAGGGATCTGCCCCTAAGACTAAATATCTCCCCTGTATCCCACCCCCATCATTGGCACATTGGGAATCAAATTTCAACATTAGTTTTTGCAGGATTAAACCACATCCAAATCATAGCACCAGGTGTTACTTTAGCTCCCTTCTATCTACTATATCATTCAGTCTTCACAGCAATCCTATGAGGTGCCTGGTGTTACTGGCCCATCTCACAGGAAGAACACCAAGACTCAGAGATGTGATGTGCCCATGATCACACTGCTCATCCAATGTCAGGTCAGGACTTAGCCAGTGCTCTTGCCTCTGGAGAGCACTTCCTTTCTTTCTGTCTTGGAGAAGCCCTTCCCAGGTCTTTAGATCGACTCTCCTGTGGGAAAGACCACTTTATGGCACTGTCCAAGTTACTGGGTTTGTTTTTTCACATCTAGGAAACATGCAGGTCCCCGATATCTTAGACATCCGAGCCAGTCTCCATCGGGGACCTGCATGTTTCCTAGAGCTACCACAGAGAATGCCTTCTCTCTTCTGGGAGGTGATTGTGAAGAAGGATTTATTGGACCACAGAAATATCAGTGTTAACATGAGAAATTCCATGTTTGCATTATAATGGCTCTACATAATAAGACAGAGAAGGATACTTCATAATAGTCATTTCCACTCAGATAATCACTTTAATTATAGTGCTATGAGATCATTCTCCCCAGTGCAGTAACCAGATGCCTCTTTCTTATAAGATACTGGCTGCTGGTGTCAGGAGTTGTATTCCGTGAGGGGAAAACAGACTCCAGGCTAGAGGTCCACAGCGGGAAGCAGGTGGGCCAAGCTAGAGGAGTCTGGAATCAGTAAGGAGCTTAGAAGTGGGGAAGAACATAATGTAATGCATCGAGTCAGCAAAGGGACCCAGTGAACACACCAGGAGTCAGGGCCTGGAGAGCCAGGGACCTGGCAGAGTGGAGGGTCCAGTATTCACAGTGCTTCTTTAGTAGCAAGACCTGAAGCAGGAGCCATAGCAAGTTCAAGTGGGTGCTAGACTTTATTACACAGAGTGAACAAGTGCAGCCTCCAATTTAATATCTAGCAGATAGTAACTAGCCAATAAATACCCACTGAATGCATGAGTCAATGCATGCATATGTAATGAATGGATTTAGTGGTGGGGTTCTAGACTTTTCCAATCACTAAGCACCTCAAAGTTCAGACAGCAAGAATAACCTTGCTTAAGTCAGCATGGATGATTATAGAAGCTCAAATACCCAGAACTGCCCTTAGAAATTTTCCAGATGAAGACCAGTATTTCTTATAACACTTTGTCCAACACAATCAGGGTTAGAATAGACTGTTATTTCCTCTTCCTTTAAAACAACTAATAATTGCTTACTAGATACCAGGTGCTGCTTTGAATATTTAATGCATTTTAACTCAGTCCTTGCAACAGTTCCATTCAATAGGAGTTATTATTAGCCCCATTTTACAGATTTGGCAGCTGAGTCCCAGAAACGTGTTATTTTCCCTAGCTTGTAGCACTACCATGAGAGTCAGAAGTCAATCATTTGAAGCCCAGGCAGCTTTGAGTCAGTGTGTTTAACCCTGCAGGGCACTGCCAAGTGGAGAGCCTTGGTAAGCTGGTTTCTAGCTGAGGTACTTGGCTTGAACTTGGGGCGCATTTCTTGGCTTGTGGTTAGGGACCTTGTATCCAAATCTGTGTACTGGGAGACTACACACACTTCCAGCAGGCCAGCCAGGCTGGGAGGGCAGGTGGGACCTGAGACCTCCAAGGCATTGCCAGCTGTGCTTCCCAATGTGGGCTCCCACCAAGCTCATGCCCACTGAGGAGCAGGATAGGTCTCTCAGTGGGAACTGCTCTCTCCATGCCCCACCTCCTCCAAGTGTGTGGAGCTGAATTCACACGTTTCACAATGTGACTCCAGGGAAGTGACATTTCAGCCCAACCAGAGCCGCCACATATTAATAGATCAGAATTATCATAGAGAGGAAGCTTGGGCCTGTCTGGGAAGGTGCGGATGCTGTGAGACAGCAGTTCTCAAAGCGTGGTCTCTGGGTACACAGCATCCTCTGGGAGTCTGTTAGAAATAGAAATTCTCAGGCCCCAGCCCAGACCTACTGATGAGAAACACTAGGACTTGGACCCACTAATTACTGTAGTAGATGCTGGGGCATGCTCTAGGCTGGGAAGCGCTGGTGCAAAGAGGGCCTCCAGAAGCGGTGACATCAGGATTGGCCCTTTAAGGACAAACAGGAGTTTGCTGCACAAAGCATATAAGCATTCCAGGCAGACAGCTCAGCATCCAAGGCACCTCTTCCCACTTCTCAGCTTTCTCCCCAGTGTCTGCTTGCCATCCATAGTGCCAAGGCTACAGAAGCCTCTGGAGATGGGGGGTGAGAGCCCCCTCAGTGCAATCCCTTGCCCTGTGCCCATTCAGCTGGCAGCAGTGATGTCAGGTCTTTGGAGAAGACTCGCTCAGTGAGCTCAGACCCTGCCCAGAATGTAGGTGGTTCATCTGCATCCAGCTTAAGGGGCCTGGAAGAGCCTGCCCCTTGCTGGAGAAGAGGGATAGTTATGAGGTTGGGATTAGAATCATGCTGAGCTCAGCAACTGGGGTGGGGGTGATCCATGGGCAGCCTTGGGGTGGGTTTATGGCAGAGTAAGTGTTAATTATGGCCAAGCTTGGTTCTGGTATCAGAAACAGACAATTAACCAGCACAACTGGACAGATATGAAAGGACCCATTTTTTTGGAAAGACCTACTTTTCTTTTTTGGCCCTCCTCCAGGTTGCAAGGACTCCTCCCCACCCACCCACCTCCTGAAATACCCACCCCAGACAGGAAGCTCCACAAGTTCAGGCATGTCTTGCTCACAACTCTGTGCGCGGCATTGGACTGGGTGCCTGGCACTGAGTGACGAATGCTGAATGTTTGAAAGCCTTCTGGGGAACCACGAATCAACTAAACTTCAGCCTTCACTATGCTCATCTTTGTGGAGCTGGGAATGCCTTTCCATTCATGGAATTTGCCGCTGACTGCAGTCAAACTCTACCAACTTCTGTGTCCTCAGGATGTCAGCTGTCCATTCTCTGGTGGAAGGCAGCCACCCCTGGAGGCAGCAGGGCACACAGGCATGACTCTGCAGTGCAGGGAGTGCTCTCTACTTTAGTTGGCAGCCTCAGTGCAGCTCCTGGGATGCAGGATCTCAGCTGCAATGGATTCTCAGGGCCCGTGGTGTTTCGCAGATGTGGACAGAGAGCAGTGGTTAGGTGCTTGCCCTGAGGATGGAAGTCACGCTCCTCTGTTGCCACCAAGAGCCTCTCTTCTCTTGCATTTTCAGGTGATGCTGTGCTAAAAAGCTCTTTTTTTTTTTCCTGCCTGGTCTGGTCTTTACATTTCCCTGCCCATCTCTCATGGCTCCCCTCTGCCTTGGGAGTTGTTGAAGGGGTTCCCCACTTCCTGTCTTCCACTGCCCAATTGGTCCAGGAATGAAGGAAGAATTCAGGCAGAGAGTGAGGGCTTGAGAGGGGGCATTGAGAATGAGGATGGCTTCAGACTAGAACACCTAGGTGTTCTGGGAGGAGAAAGATGATTTTAGCCTCAAAATCATGACAGGACATGTAGGTTTGTCACGGGGGCCCTTGGAGAGTTCCCACATTGACAAGCCTTGTTGGTGACAGTGATGCAACAGCGGCAGTGTTGACTGCTTTACAGTTGGCCAAGTGCTGCGCCAGTTACCTGGGGTGTTCAACTACGAGGAACCTACAGGTTTGGTAGGAGAATCAATTTACCATGCTGGGTGTGGTGGCTCATATCTGTATTCCCAGCACTTTGGGAGGCTGAGGCATGTGGATCACCTGAGGTCAGAAGTTCGAAACCAGCCTGACCAACATGATGAAACCCAATCTCTACTAAAAATACAAAAAATAGTTGGGTGTGTTGGCGGGCACCTGTAATTTCAGCTACTCAGGAGGCTAAGGCAAGAAAATTACTTGAACCTGGGAGGCTCAGGCTGCAATGAACTGAGATAGCACCACTGCACTCTAGCTTGGGTGACAGAGTGAGAATCTCTCCTCCCCACCCAAAAAAAGAAAAGTCAATTTATCAAGCACTCTGAAGCAGCAAAGCTTTGTGCAAGTGTGATTTGGGGTTCAAGAGCTATGGGGAAGGAACAGGAACCTCATGGGCATGGGAAGTTCTTCTTGGCTAGCAATGGGGTTTTTCTTCCTGCTCCAGATTCCTCAGCATCCTTGCATAAGTGAAGGAGAAATCAGACGAGAGGTGAAGTACATTAA